GGCACCACTAAGGTAGGGAACAACACAGCCAGGAAGGAAGAGGGTGGAAGAGGGATTAGGGGAGACACTTGGGAGTCTACTCTGGCTGAGGCACTCCAGGAAGGCTTCATGGCAGAGACCGTTTTTAAGGACATTATGGAGGAGAGGATGACACCCAAACAAAAAGCAAGGGTAGGGTGCGGGAAGCAGATCTGGGAGGATTCCAAAAGAGGAAAAATCAGGCACAAAACCTCAGTAGGAAGAAAGAGCTAAGTGTTAAAAGGCTGAGAGAACAAAAGGATAGCCCCCTGGGGATGGTGGGGGCGCCCAGAACAAAGCCTGGCAGGGAGGAAGTGTCTACAAATGCTTTTAGTTTTTATTCTTGACGTTTTTGTGAGGAAAAAAAGAAGACAATGTATTAAAAACATCAAGTAAGCTGCTTGAGCCATAATAGGTGCTCAACCAATAGAGTATCTTGGTTTTGTTACTATTTTTAGCAGTACTAGTAGCCTTGATCTCTTCTGAAAACCAGCTCACGCTTCACGCATCTCCTTTTGCTCATGCTCTTATGTATCTTGGTTTCTGTCCCAATCTCTGACTCTTCCTGGTGTTGTTTATCCTTACCTTCAGTCTCTATTTAGCTGTCATACCCTCTAGATACCCTACCCAGAGTTGGTAGCCCCTTTGGAAGGTTTGTTTCTCCAATAGATTTGTGTCATTTACTATGGTTTTTTTGTTTTGTTCATTTACTAATTTTTTTTTTTTCAAGAGAAGTGGTTAAAGGAAAATAATTTAAAACTCAGGTCAGTCTGACCAATGCCTCGTGTTTGGTATGAAGAGCAACCACCATTCCCGTGACAGTCTGGGAAGGAAGAAGTGGGAGCCCTGCCCCAAGTGAGGTCCAAGAACCCTCCTCCTCCCAAAACATGGTTTGTCTGTCTCCAGCCACAGAGAGGCCTGTTCCTCTCTCCAAACCATCACGAATGATTGATTTGAGATTCTGGATTCTTCAGAGTTTCTTCCAAATGAACAAAAGACAGTCCTGCTTGGAGTCTTGGTGGCATTTTAGTCAGCCCTTTAATGTGATTCTAATGGTTTGTGTGTGTGAGAGAATTCACAGTAAATTCATTATGAAAACCCATTTACCACAGGGTTGACACCAGCAAAAGCCTGAGGCAGCTCAGGGAATTGTGGGACACGACATCTGTTTCAGTGAACATAACTCAGGCATTCCACATCCGTGCTCGCTCATTGGTGCTTAATAGCTTCTTGCACAGCTCTTTTTCTCCTCAGGACATACACATTCAGACACAGAAAACCATAAAGGCCAAATGTCTTCTTTAATCCTCCGAGGCTTAGCTAGCTAAAAGGAAACTGTCAAGAGCCATAGCAACCCTCTATGTGAAAAGAAAAGAATCATCATCATCATCATTAATAATATTAATAATAATAGGTAAAAAGAAGCTAATATGCTGATTTAATACACTTAGGAGTCTACCTTTCTCAATTTGGCTGTTTTGGGGTCCGATTTTTATGCATATTTAAAATAGAATGTGTAATTTGACCATACCTACTTTGTTATGATTTACTGTTAATAACTTTGCTGAAGTGTAAATGGCCTCACATGCTAATTGGGTGTGCTTCCTGTGACATATGCAAACTGACTTAGAAACTAACATATGCTGTTATTACTCATAATAGATCAGCTTTGTCTGAAATATTTGTGCCCAAAATTACCATTTGGCATGTCTTCAAATTCAAATCCACCTTCTGCCCTGAGATGAAATTCAAGGATTTGTTTTCTGGTTGTGTTTTTTTTTTTTTTTTTTTTAATATTTTGGAGACTGCTTTCACTGCTACAATAAGGAGTGTTCAGTGTTTACATTATAATGACTATTTGTGGGGGTTTAATATGTTGCTTGTTGCAAATTGCATCCGACGGAAACTTGGCAAAATGGCACTGAGATGTGGGACCACATTCAACTATATTTAACATCGTATCAGGCGGTTGATCTTTTGAAAATCTATGGTGTTAAATGATAACTTAACATAATCTTACATACTCTTTCCATCTTTTGCTTTGTAGAAGTTAAAAATGGTGCTGGGTGTTACAGTAATTCTGCAGGGGGAAAATGTGTTTTCTGGTTGTCAACAGTTTACTAAGGTATGGAATGGGAACAATGAGAAAACCTAAAATCAACCTGCTTGTTTTGAGACTGTTAATGTCTTGTAGATTGCTACTGGGTTTTTGTATATTTGTATCAACTGTTATGATGCCTTTCTGTGGCTGAGTAGAGGATGGACGCAGAAACTGAGCTGGAAAAAAACACTGTAGATGTTACTTACAAGAGCCAAAGTGAAAAGGTTAGTTTGCATCACAGAGAGCGTTTTCCACAGTTCCAATCCAGTTTGAAATATTGTACTAAATTGTAAAGGCTAATTAGTTAGGTAATTCCGGATGGGTGGGAATGGAAGAAGTAGGTTCTTTATTATTTTACAAACTTTAATTTGTATAAAGGTGAACTGTTTTAGATTTTCAAGAGAGTTAAGATCATTGAGTTAGAATCGGATTATCTCAACAATGGGCATCTCCATTTACTTTTAACTTCAAAGAAAGATTGTGGTTTCCCATAAATACCATTGTTAGGGGAAGCAGTTCATCATGAGCCCTGATCATCCCTGTGTGTTCGTGTATGTATACCACAAGGTATATCCATCCCCTGATACTGAGCAGTCTTCATAGTTAGCCACATGGGTGACTACGCAGGTGCAGATGGCCACAGCATGACCTCCATGACCTTCGTGCTCGCACTCTTATGGAGGGGACAGGCTTGTTTACTACTTGCTCAGGAGCATCCATCTGGGCCTATGGTGTCACCCATGGAACTTGGGGACCCAGGTTCTGGCACCACCCTGCTGATGTTCCTGCTGGGTGCTATGCTGTGAGTAATACACTGTCTCATCTACATTTGGCATCTAAGGAATGGTTTCAGATTTATTCCCTCCCTTCTTCCCTGAGGCTGGGACTCTTCCCTGACAAATGTATTTTGAAAGATCCTCCAAAAAATTGTTTTGATTCTGATCATTTAAAAATTGTATATTGGCAAATAAAATGTAATCAACAATGGAATGTATTTCAAATAGATGGTACAAACCTTGCCCTTATTATTAAAAATTATTATCAACTTGTGAGAGAAGCTTTAAAAATAACTCCCATTTACTGGCATCTATTATGTACATTTTTCTCATTTATTGTCTCAAAAGCCTTATAAGCTGCTGTTTTTGCACACCAGGGAAATTAGACATAGCCTGTGCAACAACCTGCCTATGTTAGATGGCTTTGGAAGCCAGGTCTGCTGGGCTTTAAATCCAGCGTCTATATTCAGCCACTTTATGACCAATGACTTCTGTTAAGTATTTTATGATTAGTTTTATTTCCTGATATAAATTTTATGTGCTCAAACGTTTATTCTTAGAAGTATAGTCTTCTACCTCAAGGTGTGGCTCTTCTATAGTTTTTACTCTATTGCCCTGCTGTTCTGAAACCCTAAGTCATACACTTGGAATAAAATCAGGATTTTAAGTCATAATTTGAGCCTTACTTAAGTATCATGGGACCTGGACTGTTTCTAATAAATAAGATAAGATGTTTCAAATAAACTTGATTGTTCATACTAGTAAATAACTAGATAGCCCAGAAAGACTGAAATTATTTTAAATAAACTGAATCATGGTGTATTTAATTTGCTTCATTTTTTCATACAATAGTATCTAGTTTTGCCAGACTCCTTGACGCTATAGATAAATGAGTAGAAGCTACGCCAAGCAAAGGACCAGATGGCCTGAGGTGGATGGGGAGGAGTAGTCCTGTTGGGCATATTTGATAACTTATGTTTAGGGTTTTGTGCTTTTTTCTGTTTGTTTGTTTGTTTGTTTTTGTTTTGTTTTGTTTTGCATTTCTAATGCCCCTGGCTGGATCTGCTACAATAACATAGTTACAATAAATAAAGCAAAAACAGCTGATTTCACTAAGTCTATCTGATTACATTTTAAAACTTTACTTACTATCAAATTTTCTGACTGCATGCAAATCATTAATACATAATTGAACATCTATCGGGGCTCTTGTAGCACTTAGGCTAAAACTTTATGAAATAAAAAGAGGCTCTGAAATATACTGTGGGACGTAGCAGTGGTGGACTCCTGGGAACAAGTAAGGATACTTCCAGAATGCTGCTTTGGAGAATCAGTGTCTTAAAATTGGAAAGTTCTGAGCACTTGCAATTCTCAAGCTAGTGCCTGAAAAGAAGAGACGTAGGAGTTCCAGTTATATAAGATGGATTCTGACTCTGCGTACAGAAATAGCCCAGACCCGCCTGGTTGCTTGAATCTACTGCCCTCAGGCATTGCAAATGGGGGAGAAGGCAGGACTAAGGCTCCCTGAGATCTGGAGCCTACAACACTATTAGAAGTATTCTCTTAATTCAGAAAAAGATGACCAAATTAGGTGTGTAATTAGATATTTATTTAGAATGAGGGAAAAAATTAAAATTAAATCACATTTTAAAAATATGACAAAACTGACAAATATCACAAATACCATCAAACCCAGAAAAATAGTATTATTTTTAATCAATTCACTTCTGGATTTACTTCCATACTATTTTTTTAAACTTTTTTTTCTTTGCTGTGTATTCTTTGATCACCTTTTCATATGACAGCACTCATGTAACATTTTATTTATTATTTATTTATTTATTTATTTTACATTTTTTTAAAGAGGAAAAAAGAAAATTCATTATTTCCTTTAACAGGGTGGAGTAAAATTTGTATTTTTGTGTTGATAATATTTAAAGTACTTTAGATTCCCAATTTGATATTAAAAATGTCACATGGACATTTAGTGTAGTTGTCAAAGTTGTGGAAATGTTTATCAAAATATCTTTCATGAAAAAATTACTAACTGAATTATAGCTATTAAATGCTGAAAGAAGGTAACAGTTTATTATGATATATCTTATTTAACAATCTGGGAAGTTGGCTGCCATTAGCAGTTCCCCTGCAATTTTAGGCGCAGTTGGGAATTCAGGAATCTCCGTGGAGTTGTTAGTGTAGCCAACCACATAGCTAGGACACGCGTGTACTTTTGCTAGCACATGTGAAGAGTTTACTCTAAAACTGACTTCTTTAATTTCATTCTCAGCAAACTGACCCAGGCCCCTCAATATGGCTTTTATCATTCTGGACATGAGTACATGTTGTCTTTTTATAATAAATTCATGATCATCCAAAGATACTGATTTGACATACATGGCATCAGGGCCTTAACAGCTACGATGGGTTTTGTCTTCTCCACCCAATATGTTCTGATGAAATTCCGCTTCACTTCCGCAGGAACTTTAGTAGTTTCCTGGTGAGGCCAGAACACTGAGTCTGTCGCCTGCTTCCATCTACAGAAAGTCTGAGTACTTGATTATCCTTGTCACTGTGTTCATATTGGCTATATCAGCAGGTAACTTCTGCTTTTAAAAAATGTTTTATCATGATTTACTTCTTTTCATTAATTGGATTCTCAAGCAAACCAAGTGCCTACTTATTATTTCTATTTAGAAATGATCTCTTCATATAAAAAAATGTTGATATTATGTGAATTTTTGTTGTGCTGCAACTCAGTTTTCACCATAGAATCTTTTCCTTGATTTCCTTTCACACACTTTTGGTTCTCTATCCTACACCACTGATTTTTATCTGAGTTTTTTTTTTAAGATTTTATTTATTTATTCATGAGAGACACACAGAGAGAGGCAGACACAGGCAGAGGGAGAAGCAGGCTCCATGCTGGGAGCCCAATGTGGGACTCGATCCTGGGTCTCTAGGATCATGCCCTGGACTGAAGGTGGTGCTTAAACCGCTGAGCCACCGGGGCTGCCCTATCTGAGTTTTTAAACTTACTTTGTGTGCAAATTTTAAAACAGAAAAAAATATAAAGCCAAATTATCTGAAATGTCTATTTGTTTTCTTGAAACTTCCCAGAACATCCCTCCAAACTACATTTATTATGGCATATACCCAATTTAATTTCTCTGTAGCCAGGTCCCAAAAGATAGTCACAGCCATGCTGAGGTGAACTGCTGAAGATGAAGTGTGATGAAGGAGTAGTAGATATGGAATGAGACACCAGTCTTCATCAGTTGAAATTAATATGTCTCACTTTTGTAAAATGTTGAAACAAAAACTTCAAACATGTGAACACATTGCCAAAGTCTTTCTCAGGTCCTTGAAAGGACTCTGAGACTTCAAACTTCAATAGCTTCATGGTAAATGGTCCTCTGCTGCCCACCCGAGCACAGATCCAGCCATGGGCAATCCCAAGAGCATATGAGCTTGAGGTTGTAGATGGCTTCGATGATAATACATTCCAGAACCTTAGCCTTGCATGGGACAGAGAAAGGGGTAAGGGAAGGTAAGTTAGGCCATTTCACCAAGGACTGGATCAATTTTGAAAATTGGCAAGAGTGATAACTTAGGCTCAGGGGAAGATGGTTGTCCCTTCTGTTCACTAATGAAGTAATAAACCAATAGTGCAAAGATCAAATATGTGAGTAAAGGCACATTGCTCTTTAATGTTCCCTATTTCCTTGCTACGGCAGCCTGAAGTTTACTACTCAAAATCGGATGACTCTCAGTGCCAGAGGCCTGAAAGCCTCTAATCTTCCCTCAGTTACTCCCAGGAGAAGGGTAACTCAAATGCCCACTGCTCTGTTGGGCCTACTGTAGGCCTGGCCCTGTTTTACCTACAGAGAGGAGAGAATGGGCCAAAGTTAAGGCTTCTAACACAGGTGAGGGTGGTCAGCAGGCCTGGCTTTTCTGAGACTGTGGGGTTTCCCAAGATGTAGGTGTTAGTTAAAATCAGGAGAGTCCCAGGAGACTAGGGGTAGCTGGTCATGCTAAATCAGATAGGCTAGTCCTCTATGTGGAATCCTATATCACAACAATTCCTAAGGATTGGAACATGGATTGTGGAGAAAGCTAAACTGAGTTTGAATCCAGTTTCTAGTCATAGATCTTGGGCAAATTGTTTAACATTTCTGGGCCTCATTTTTAAACTGGAGATGGCAATGAGTATAATGTAGAAGTTTTGTGAGGAATAAATTGCCTACTAAATCTAAGGATCCTAGTATAGAGTCTGATATTTGAAAACCAGTGGCTCTCATCAATATCACCCACATTATCATCATCCAAAGAGTTAGGTCGGGGTGGGGGTGGGGGGTTGGATTTAGGAGCAAATTTCAACTGACGGTGATATTTTCAGCCAGGTAAATCTCAGCATCAGGACTCATCGTATCTTTCCAAATGAAAGTAGAGTCTTTAAGCATCTCTTGGGGTTATTAGAGAATAGGTTTCAGTCTTGAGGAAAGGAACTGGCAAGAACTAGGAAAGTTAAATATGTTTAAGCAAACAGGCTGGTTTCCTGGTAGCACTTTAGCTCCATTAGGAAATTAGAACCACAGTCAGAAAGCTGAAGCTGGTTTGAATCTTGCCTTTGTGTCTATGGGTGACGAATGCTTCTCTGTATCTATCCTGTAGAAGAATTTTTAAAAGAAGATTACTACTAATGAATGCAGAATCCCTAGCACTGAGCCTGGCTCTGGTAGGTACTGAATAAGTGAGCAATCTACACTTGCTATAGGCACAAGGGTGATACAGATGAACATTCTTCAGCCTAGTAAAGCTTAGGTGTCATGTACCACTTCTAGGGCCCATGACTAGTGAGCCAGTTACCCAGCTGCCTTAGCGCAAGGCCTGCAAAGACCTGTTTTGGCCAATTGCACACACATCCATCTATTCTTTGTTGCCAGTCTGGATGTCAAAGTGCCTGAGATCTGCTCCCAAAACAGAACTTTGATATAAAGTGTTCATATTCCAGTGATCATTTGGGCTCTGAGATCCTAGTCAGAGTGCCAATCAGGCTATCAGGAAGCTCTAGACATAGATGTGTGAGGAAGTCCTAAAGCAGGGGCAGTGGCAGTGACATAGAAATCCTAAACTAAGATATAGGTTTCTGTAGGGCAGAAGTTGTGATCTCTCTTCCAGCAGTGGCAATTCCATCCCAAGATGGCAATAATTCCTTACTGGTGCTGCTGCTGGTGGAAGCTGGGCTAGGAAGTATCTTTTAGAAGCTGGAGAAGGAAGAGGATCTAAGTTTCATTGGACAGATGGTTGGCTTCATGGAATAACTGGGCAGAGTAAAGACACAGGATTCCACAGATTTGTTTAGATAAAGGAAATATCCTTTGGTTCAGTTGTGGGAACTATTTTGGATCTGGAGGGGGAGAAATTGGGTGAGAAATATATCTGTGATAAGACAGCTTATTTCTACCCTACAGCAGCAATTGCCCTTATTGGGTTGTGCTTACCAGTGTTGAGAATTCCAGAGAAGCATGCTTTTGGCAAAACTGAGGGAACTACTTGTGTCAGATAGAACTGAGACCTCCCAGAGAAGAGCATTCCTAAGGTCCTTGGGAAAAAAATATGTTCACCAGTAAACCTACTAATTTATAAACTTCAAGAGAATAAGGATAATGCCTGGTTCATTCTCTACATCCATAGCCCTACCTCAAATATCTAGTGTGCTGACAAGCTTGAATAAATATGTTCAATGGTTGAATGAAGAAATTAGTGAGCAAATATATTGGTTTTCAAGCATTCCTATTTTTAAAAAGATCTGATTGATTGATTAATTGATTGATTTAGAGTGTGTGCAAGCAGGGGGAGGGCCAGATGGAGAGGAAGAGAGAATCTTAAGCAGATTCCACTCTGACCCTGAGATCATGACCTGAGCTGAAACCAAGAGTCAGTTGCTTAATCAACTGAGCCACCCAGGTACCCCTAATATATTGGTTTTTAAATGCCCTGGGGAACTTTAGTTGCAGGTTATCTATTCAGGTATCTGTCAAAGAACTAAGGTATCAGAAAATTGGACAAAACCAGAGCATTGTAGAAATTAGAGAGAAATTGCATCCCAGCTCTAAAAGAGACAGTATTTCTTGGTTGCCATATGTAATTATTTGACATAAAGAAATAGGTTGTCTAAAGCTACTGCACAGATTTGGACCTGAGGAGTGTTTTCTCTTGAAATTCTTTTGGCTGCTCTGATGAAACCTTGTATTCTTCACAGTGAAGAAGCAATAGCTGTTGTTTGATGTATCTAAGAGAGCAAGATGGGTTTATGGTATGTAAAGTTTTAGGTTGCAGAAGTATAAAATGTAAAAACTCAACCCTTGTCTCGTAATTTTTTCAAAATGGTTACTTTATAAAACTTTAAGAGTTGAAAAGAGCTCTGCTTTATGCAACTTCCCCACTGCTGTGTTTTATGAGGGCTTCTAAAATAATATTTTCTCCCTAAGAGAAAAATACAAACTTTCTAAATTAATTTAAGCTATCTGCTTTATTGTTCATCACCTTTGGCACATCATGTAGCAAATCTTATACTAAAAATCAGCATGTGGAGCATTAGTACAATCCACAAAATACTCTTGGAGGAAAAAAAAATAAAGAAATATCCCAGGGCATAACATGCAAAACCACTTTTCACTAATCAAAGAATCATTGCAGACTTGGCTGACAATCCCATAATAAATTATCTTCATTGTTGTTCAGAAACTTATATGCTCTGTGAATACAGCACATTCCATGTTATCTAAAATTCAGTATTGAGGTTTGAGGCTGTTTTTAGGCCAGTAAGGGAATGAAAGATGACTTTTCACTTAATTCCCATGCCCTGGAACATGCCCCTAGCAAAATTGTTGACCTTTCTGTGTTTATATTCATAGACCAGAAACTCTAACTTGATTAATAAGGATGAAAAAAGAATTAGCTTGAGTTTGTGATTAATTCAGCTGCATCAACTTACTTTGCATTCACTAACTAAATCATAGAAGTTTGATAGTTTGATCTGTATATTTCATTTAATACAAATTGAGATTTCTAAAATATGTGTACTTGACTTTTTTTCTAAGCAGACATTTTATCTGTAATCCTGGTCAATACTGGTTTTGTATTGAAGATTGAGGATATTGAGTAGATTATGTCACCAAGAAACTATTGTTTTCTATTGTTATTTTTAAGTTTAAGGGGCTCCTGGGTGGCTCAGTGGTTGAGCATCTGCCTATGGCTTAGGTCATGATCCTGGAGTCTTGGGATTGAGTCTCACATCAGCCTCTCCATAGGGAGCCTGCTTCTCCCTCTGCCTGTGTCTCTGCCTCTCTCTCTGCGTCTCTCATGAATAAATAAAATCTTAAATAAACAAGAGATTTTCTTATCTATTGTCATGATACTTAAGGAAACTCATTCAGTA